TGTCAATAATAATAATAATAATAATAATAATAATAATAATAATAATAATAATAATAATAATAGTTAGGAAAATGTTTTTAAATCAGCAATATGAAATATTCAATGTATTTTCAATTAGCTTTATCAAATCATTGTGAAACATTTATTTATGATTGTTAAATATTTTTCAACCATATTTGCCAAAAATAAATAACATATTATAATTCTGTAGTAAAAGTGGACACGGTTTATTTTCGAAGGGAATTGAAACGAATCGAACTGATTTATCTATGAAAATCTTAGAAATAAAACTATTGATTCCATACCTAACTATGAAATCAAAATGAACTAATCGATTTCAGGCCAATATGAAGTCATTTGTTAAATTAAAAATAGACATAAATAGAGTATGAAATTGTAGAGTATTATAAAATTATTTTAGTATAAATTTGAATTATCCATTGAATATTCGAATTTAGATTGAGAAGAAAAGAATAAAGAAGAGGGGAATGGAATAATCGAAGAAATCGAAGCAAAGAATGAAACTGAAAAAGTGACTGATGTAAAAAAAAAAAAATGAAAAATGAGTTATATTTTACCCAAAAAAATTGGAGAACCGATTTAACGTTCGGTTCTCAAACCATCATCGAGAACCATTTCGAAATCGATCGATTCTTGATGAAATGGCGCAATATTGAATTTTTCCTTGAAGGAACTAGAGCTGTACCGTCGATGTTATCCGGTTCCCAAAAAAATACCCATCCCTATTTTATGGTCATATTATAATGGCTTTTTTACTACCCTGAATTCATTTAAACCAAAAGTATGAAAAATATATCTTAATAGATAATAATAAGAAAGAAAAATTATAATTTAAATATAAACAAAATATTCAAAATAATATAGAGGGATAAAATAAGAAATAAATATTTACCTTTTGCCGATGAAGAAAATCTGCAGGACTGATATGCTAAATACCGGTGATTAGGTTATGCTAGGCACTCAGGTGACATGACATACTATAATAAGTGGTGGGAGGTAATAATTGGATACAAAATTAATTACACCAACTATTGTAATGCCCCACGTCACGCTAAGGCACCAGTGCTTAGGAGATATCTGTTATCAAAAGTAATCCTCATGGAAGATTTATTTTGAAAATATAGAAGACGAATTCTCTCTTTTTTTTTAAAAAAAAAAACTTAATTTATTAATGTGCTATCATACAAATATAGGACTATGCCATATGTACTGAATTTTTTTTACATAATCCCTTACCGATTACTCACAATAGGGGATAGAGACCACATCTTGGGATTTTTTCATTCACGCGGGCCCGCATGCATGTGAGAGAGAGTAAACAATTTGGTACATTGAATTATGTATTTTTACCCACAAATATATGTCTAGCTTGCTAACTCGTTTTCACGTGAGAAGACAACGAAAATGCACAAACACAAGGAAGTTATCATCAATCACAAGACTCGTTAACAAGTCGCATTTTCACTATAAGTTGCTCTCCGAATCAAACAAAACGCGCCTAAATTTATTTATAATCTTTTTTTTTTATCTAGTCTATTTTACCGAACAAAATACACACTGATATAATTCCTTATTGAATTAATCTAGTGTGCTGGGGGGCACAAAAAGTGCGGCCCCACATGTATTTAAAAATTTCGGGGTCACTTAATTATATGTCAAGATTGGAATTATTTTATCCATTTTTACTCATTTTAAAAATAAGTAATTTATATCTATAGTGAATAGATTATTTTATTTATATCTCTATGACAACTGGTGCTACTTTGATAATATTAACTATTTATTCCTTTGAAGCAATCCCAAGCCACGTAATATAGACTCAACCGAAAATGTGTACACTTAAAAGACCCATAAATAAGCGGCCCGCTTAAATTACAAACTAACTCATTAAATTCTTTGAAAACGTTTGGAGAGTCGTATCATAAGAATAAATTGTACTACATTTTATAATTATAATTTAATACCTTATTTGATGCGTAAAGTATACGTGATAGTCGAAGACAAGATATGTTGAACTAGCAAGTCGTCAATTAATATAAAAAATTAACTTTAAGTCTCCCATAAAGTAAATGTCATAATTATAGCCATGTTGAACAGTAGTTATGATATAACGATTTGAACACAGCCCAGACCCGAATCATTACACAATTTGACTCTCTGATCATGGTCTCAACTTTGATCATGGTTTTTATAGAATTAATTTTAAGGCCCTGTTCGATTGTAATGAATTCTATTAAAAATATCACATTTGAGAAAAACGAGTTTCACGTTGGACGTTTGTTTGCAATGTAGAAATGGAAATCGAATTTCAAGGTACAGTCACTTTAAGCTGAACTTTCTTTGTTTTCACGAAAAACAAATTCTTATGGGTTTGGTGGGTATTTATTTTCTAACTAACATGGAATTAGAATTATTTTCTACATTTGCCTATAAAACGGACCCTAAATGCTATTCTAAGCCCATATTCGACAATTATTCTTTCAGAATTTTTTTTTCATACTCATTTTCAATCACATATTTTTACAATAAAATAATTTTCACATAAATTTAACATTATTTTCTATTTTTCTAATCACATGTTTTCGAAAAAATTATTATTCAAAAACACATTTTTCCTAGACGAAAATGACAAACAGGGGGCTAAATAATTTTCCCTAGGATGATTACACACGAAAAGACACAAAATTTTGGTCACCTTCAGCACTGAGAAAAGACACCCCCACCCTCAACCCTAAAAACATGACAGCTGTGAGTTCTAACAAGACGTGAATTTAATCCGCCATGAACAGACAAAAAAAAAAAAATGCTCAGACTGGAAAAGGGGACTAAAATGAAAGAAGAAAACATACCTGATGACCAAAGCAAATACCCAGAACTTTCTTTTTCATTTCATCTAATTTCTTGAGCAAATTCATGAGTTTACAGATCCAAAGATCATTGCCATGAGCATCATTACAGCTTCCTGTGATCACGAATCCATCGTATTCTCCGACCTTTTCATCTTCGGGAAATTCCCCATTTGACACTCGGAACATATCCCATATTTCACCTTCTTCTTCGAGCATTCTTACGAACACCCCAAAATACCCCCCATACATTTTCTTTACATAGTCTGAGTCCTCTGCACAAAGAAGAACAGCAAACTTTTGGCCACCCATTTTCTCTCTCTCTCTCTCTGTATGTATATGCCTATGACTGTGTGTATGTATAGAGAGAGAAGGTAATCTTCTTGAGGGTGGGGTGGGGTGGGGTGGGGTGGGGGAATTCTTGGCTGGCTTTATAGTTGAGAGGGGAATATATAGCAATGAAGTTGATACGAATAACACGAACGTATTTATAGTAGTTTATTTATGAGAAAGCCAATTAAGAATTTACAAATTATCCTTTTAACAAATTTTAGGAAACATTGCAATTTAGTCCCCAACATTTATCATTGATGCATATTTGTCCCCAATCTAATATTGAACATTTTAATCCCCTTACATATTATTACCGGTATAATTAGTTCCCTCTTCCACTTTCTAGCGAATTTGGTATAAAAAGTTCACATAAAATGCACATGGTGATTTTTTTATGGGAATAATTGTTTCACAACTATTATTTCTATTTTTTAATAACTAGTCAGAGTTGAACGTCCGTTGTACGTTATTTTGAAATATTTTATAATTGCTATGAAAATAATATTTAAATCTCTATTTACACTTTTGATCGAAATATGAGAGAAATGCAAATTCTTAAAAATCAATGTTAATTATTATACATGCACGTAAATAGTAAAATGCATACTTGAATGTGAATATTGAATTTCAACTAAATTCATAACTGAAGATGAATATCAAATACGATAGATGAATTAACGTGAATGTTAATTAATTTAAAATTAATACCAAATAATTTAAACGTGACAATGAATGTTAAATTATTCATAAAATGAATATAAATTAATTTTCAATTAAGTGAAATTGAATACTAATTAGCATACATGAATGTGAATATTAAACTGCATTCTTGAATGTGATATTAATTAAATGAATATGAATGTTAATTACTTTAGAATTGATAACGGAGACGTGAACGTGAATGTGAAATTCTAATTAATATTATATAAATGAATGTAAATTAATTGAAAATTAATTATAGTATTTATTAATGTTTGTACGTTTAAAAGTTACGAGTCTCACCCCCATGTGAGAGGACTGTCAAACTGAATGTAGACCAAGGTGTACATTCAACATTATTCAAATAATTGAATTATATCAAGGGTATAATCGTCTAAAAAATGATTCTCACGTGATGTGATAGACAATATATTATAGATAAAAGTTCGATTTTAAAGGTTTGTGATGAATAGAAGCATAGGGCAAAAAAATGGAGTCTCGATAGGTAATTTTCCCATTTTTAATTAATTGCCCTTGAATCCTTGTTTATACCTGCCTTATTTCCGCCTTCTTTTTGCTAATGCAAATGGATTACGTACCAAATGTACTGTTGAAATGTTCAATGAATTTGGACTAGAATTTGAGTTTTTTTTTCTGTGTTTTTTAATTTTCTTTTTTATCTCATATTTGATAAGATTTTTCACTAATTTTCATCAGAATAATTCATTCCTTTGAAATATTTTATTTAGTCAATCGTTCGAATTTATAGTTAGAATCAAAATGATATGAATTTCGCCATTTTTGAGACTCTTTTCCCAACTCCTAGGGCTGGACATGGTCCGATTTAGAATCCAAATGATATGAATTTTGCCATTTTTGCTACTCTTCTCCCAACTCCTTTAAATTGGATTTTGATTATATGCCTATTTCTATATTGCCTAGCGATTGTAACATTTTATTTTGAGTAATTAGGTCAATGGCCAGGGTGTCCTGAAATTAGAGCTCGCCCCTCTCTGAATGCTGGGCTAGGCCACCTCGAATGGCGTGAGCCGCATGCAGGGAGACCCGCACGTACGATTTTTGGGGGGATCTGGTCGAAAGACCAATCTGCGCCCACCCGACTAGGAGGACTATAGTTATCTTCTTACAATAATAATCACACAAATTTCTAATTATTACGCTGATGATTACTTGATAAAAAAGTTAACATTAACCATTAAGTAATAACATGTGACCAAACATTATTATTTACAATGTCAAATCAATAAAAATCGTAGTTAAAAGGCAAAATGTGAATTTAATATACAATTTAAACTAAAAATGTGACCAGAATTAAAGCAGCATTACTTTTCTCGTCTGAAAGTGTTTAATCGCCAATTCCTTACTTTCCAATATTGCTAGTCGACAAATAAATAACATCATTTGATGATACACAATCACTTAGTGATGTCCTATAGAATTTAAAGTTAATTTCGTGTAATAGTTAAAAACTTGAGTAATTATTAATGTTAAAAAATAATTTTATCGACCATTGATGTAATTACTCAAAACTTCAGCGATCATTAGTGAAATTAACCCTTTTAGTTCAATAAGAATTGTTACTTGAGAGTTATTAGAAGAAAAAAAAAAGAAAAGAAAAGAAATGTTGATTGATTTCAATAAAATTCAAAAAAAAAAAAGGAGAGAGAGAGAGAGAGAGAGAGAAAATTATAAATAAACTTTAAATAAG